GACCTGAGTGCTTCACTCCAAGCTCTTCTTGACTTGATAGTCTGTGCTGAGAATGATGCCATGATTCTGATGGGCTTTCCTTCATAGGTGATCTGTTTCTTTTCTCCAACAGCTTTTAGTTGCTCTGCTCAATTTCTGGGATCTTGATTATTATGTGTCTGGGTGTAGATTTATTTTGGTTATGGATAATTGTGTTTCTATATGCCCCACTTGTGTCTATATAAGGTTCCTGATCCATGCTTGTGAAAATTTTGCAATTACTTCTGTAAATAGTCTATTTCCTTCACTCATGTTGTCTCCTGCACTTTCAGTGACACTTGTCAGCCTTATATTGTTTTCCCTGACCTCATCTTGCAGCTGTTGAATTATTATTTGCTGTTCCTTCATTATTTTAAACAGATCTTTTCTTTCACGATCACTAGCTGCAAGGCTGTCTTCAAGTTCTAAGAGTCAATCTTCGTTTCAGTCAAGTGGTAAGTCCAGCTTTCAAAGAAATTCTGAATTTCCTGAATGTCTCTTTGAATCTGTTTGATGCATGCTAATTCTTCCTTATGCTGTTTGCTCAAGGTTTCCATCATTTTTCTGTGCTCCTATGTTTTTTATCTACGTCTTATCTATGCCCAGCGATTCTTTTATTATGGTGTTCCTTTTATTACCTGAGCTATTCTTTCTGACCTGTTTTCCTCTATACCCTGATATAGTTGGTTCTTCACTTCAGTTGCTATTATTTGTGAAATTTCAGGTGTGTGACTTCCATGTTCTTCCATGTTGAAGTTACCTGGAATTATTCTGTTTGGGGTGTTTGGCTGAGATTGCATTTTGCTTCTGCTTTTTGGTATTTTTCAATCTTTCCAGATTTCAGGGAAATCAGGCTTGCTTCTGAGATGGCGTTGGATGGCAGAGCCAGAGGACCTGGGAAAGCAGATAGCTCACCCAGTTTTCCTGAGGGCAAGGCCCCTCCTGTGCTGGTGGCAGGGTTGGTGCCAGAGGATCTGGGCTCCCAGGTAGCTCACCTAGGCCCTTTTCCCACCCAAGGCACCTCCCAACGTAACAACAGGGGGGCACAGTTGGAGGATTCAAGAGCTATGGAAGCTCAACAAGGCTTCCTGAGACCAGAAGTAAATATTTTAGTGGAGAGAGGAAAAGGAATATGAGAGGAGGAAAGGAAAAAAGGAAAAAAAAAGAGGAAAGAAAATGGAAACAAAAGTTTTGCAAAGAAGGAAGAGAAGAAAGTTTGAAAGGTGGAAGGCAGTTCAGGCAAAAAAGAGAAAACAAGAAATATCATGGACAGGTACAAACTTCCTCTAATGAGTGTGGTCAGTTTGTATATATAAAATGTACCAATAAAGTTAATTCAAAACTTAGTATAGTGAGAGAGAGACAGAGAAAGAAAACTGCAAACAGAGATGAGCCTTTTATCATGGGGTCATAAGGCCTATCATTAATATTTCAATTTTCCTGACCTGGAGACTCCTGTGGAGATAAAGTTCAGAAAATGAGATCAAGGCTTCCCTATTCATTGCTCATGTACAACACACATGGCTCAGCGCTACCCTTAGCTGGCCTAGTATTGGCAAAGAAGGAAAGGCAGGAGAATGATGTGCACAGCTTCATGGTGCAACGGGGAAGGAAAGCCTTGACGAGAGCTCATTGGTGTCCTTGTGAAAACGTAAGGCAGATGCACTATCGTGGAGTGTCACATGTGGTTGACCATGTGGTACATATGTGATTCCCCTCCAATTATTCCTGAATTACAAGCAGAGGAAACAGGAAGAAAGTTGTCAGTGCAGACTTGAACACTTGGGGCTGATGGCTGCCCAGGTATAGTAGTATAGATCCTGGGGCTGGTTCTACATGTGCTGATCCATTTAAGCACATGACTATCCTTTCATAATAAAAGTGTTGTAATCAAGAAATGTGAATTTTTCAATTTTATTGTTCTTTATTACTGTTTTGGTTAGCTGAACCTGGGAAAAATTTCATCATTCTGTTTAGAATAGCTTGCTGATATTTTAGTGGTATGACAGTGTATCTGTTAATCTGGTTTGAAAGACTGAAAGTCTTAATGACACTATACCTACTGGTTGTTAATAGGAAAGAAACTCCATTGATGTACATTTGGTATCCTTTATCATAACAATTTTCATAGCTTACCACACCAAATTTTATATGTATTTTCTGGAGCTTATCTTCTTTGCATGTTTTCCTGCTACTCTTAATTCCTTTTTTGTATTGTTCAAGTCATCATTATTTTTTCAGACCCCAGCCATCCATTGCTGGTCGATAGGATCAGAGCTTGGTGCACACAGTGACTGTGCAACTTGGCCTCTGGTTGTCACCACTATTCTTCATCATTGCCCAGGAAAATAGGCAGAATTTCTGCCTGAATTTCCTTACTTATGACATAAAATAATCCCAACACTAAATTCATCGATCCATGTAGACACCCAGCAACGAATGTGTATGGCCTCTGCCTATATCTGAAGTCTTCTTATCCTGATTCACATCCTCACAGGCAGCAGGGGACATGCCTGTGAACTGGCATTTCTACATAGGGGCACAGAGGAGTGCTATGCCCAGTGAAGGCGCAGCAGATCCACCGAGGACAAGAGCTTTGTCTCCTCAAGATGCAGCAGAAGAAGTTACAGCATATCTTCAATGCAACTTGGGAGTCTGGGGTGGGCAGGAAATAGCCACTGTCTTCAGTGGTGTTGACAAAGGAGTGTACTCTGCCCAGGCTTTCTTCCAGATAATGTTCCAGGGAGTACAGAAGATATTTCTGATGAAACATCCTCTTCTCTTGTGTTACATGTCTTATCATACTGGAGAAATTATTTGAATTACTCATTGACTGAGTGATTTCCTGGATTGGTGTCAATATATACATTAGTGTACTTAAGAATTTAGGAATTCAATGTATTTTTTGTGGCACACGAGATTGAGTACAAGGTCTTGTGCATGTTCAACACGTAATCTTCAGTTAACTATTTCCTCAGCCATTTAAAAAGTTATTATGAGACAAAGGCTTCTGTGGTCTTCCTGTTAGAAAGACACAGACATATTGGATCAGGGTCTGCCCTAAAGACTTTCTCTTAATTTCTAAAGACAACCTATTTTTGAGTTAGGTCACATCCAAAAGTAACAGACTTCAGAACTCATCCTTACAACTGAAGCACAGTTCCATCCAGATCATAGTCTGACCAAAATCAGAGAAGAAGGCTTGAGTTTGTCAAGTCATATTTTTATATGGAGGACTCAGCCAGATTCTCAAATAAGTTTGTGTTTTTACTTGGTACAACTTGCAATATATAGGTTAAGGGACATAAAAGCCTTTTATTTAAGAATATCTTTATACAAGGTAGTAAACCCATATATTGTCAATAGATTCAATATGTTATCTTGCTATAGAGTTATTATAAACTAAAAAATCATTATCTTTTGACTGTTTGAAACTCTTTGAAGATTTTGCACTTACATCCCAACTTCATTTTGACTAGCTACTTTTCTAATGTGAATGAGGAAATGAGTCCAACACCTTCCAAAAAGGAGAATAAATACTTTATTACAGTTTATATACTTTAATTTTTAAGGTTTATCCTTACACAAATCAATGTTTTCTTCCATCTTTAACGGGTCAACTATTCTTATCCTGTTCAGAGTGTATAAGGCAATATTGATAGTTATACAATAAGAGAAGTCTAAGTGCACAATGAGGCTCACACTTTGTCCTGGTGATTTAGATAATGACAGATACAAGACACCATACATTGAACTAATACAGTGTTATTCAGAACAATCTACCTTCCCTGAAATTTCCACTGAATTTAGTGC